CAGGCTGCCGCAGGGGGTGGCCGGTGGTTGCTCTTGGAGCCACCGGCTGTCCAAAAAAATTCGAAGGGGAGGAACTGCTCGCGGGGAGAGAGAGAGAGAGAGAAGTCAGATTTATCAAACCCTTTTCGCAATATTTAAGGTTATGCCACTGAGGGTATTGTGATTGTATCTCTCTTGTTACAACTCCAATTCGAGCCCCACTACGTGTCTACGGACTCATCTCACCGTGCTCTACGCAACGGTATAGTCGAAATTCTCAAATTCCTTCTCGGTCAAAAAGTAAACTTTAAACCTAATTAAATATTCTATGGCAAAAAAATGGTCTTTTATCTAAATAAAATGATATTTACCCATTTAATTAGGACCGGGTCGTTACAATATATATATATATATAGGTTATTAAGCGTGCTATAGTTTAGGGAATCCGTTGTTAGGTGAAAAGAGTATTGGTTCATTAAATTCAACGGCAAATTGTGTAATTTGTTATTAAAAATAGGGGCTAGTTAAATGGTGTGTTTATTAATTAGGAATTGAATTCTACTTATGAAGGATTTATGTGTTTACTTTACATCAAGTGATTAAAAAGTAAGTGGGGTCCATACAAAATTAGGAATTGAATTCCTGATTTTGGAGTAATTCAAATCTTGGGTGGGAGGTGATATTCTAATTCACGGAGAACCAAGGTCCAAAATCTCGGTGATATCGGAAATATCGGTAGTCTAAAAATACGGAAATATCGGGATATTATTGATATAGATAAAAATTGAATAAAAACCACGAAAATTGTAAGAAAAACTCGAAAAATTTTATTGAAACTTTGGAGAATGTTTATTTAGTCAATTATCTATTAGTTTATAATAAAAAATTAGAAGGAAATGCATTACATGATGGATTTAACTGATTTAAGTTGATTATACAGTGAGCTAGCAAATACTGTGAGTGTAGAAAATATGTAGTAATTAATGAAAAAAGATTAAACATACCATAATCATTTATATATAATGATTTACTACAATATTTTACACTTTATACATTGCATGGTAAGATACATGACTGACTTAGATTACATAGAGTTCCTATGATGTTTAAATTTTTCACTATCTTCATCATCTCTATGGGTAGAGTAAGTGTATTATGAAGAGTATTCATCAAATGATAAATCTCCAAAATAGATTACATGTAATTGTTAACATGTCACCCATGTAAATATAAATATTTTAGCATATTATCACTAAAACATAAGTGATATATGGTGGTTAAGGTGTTGGAGGAGTAAAATGGGAGGGGTTTAAATCCCCTTTGTGTTTTTTTTTTCCTTCGTTTTTTTCTTTTTCCTTTACATCGATATTTTCGATATTTTAGCGATATTACATCGATATTTTGACAAAATATTGTTGAAGTGTGAGCGAAATTATCGACATTGATATTTTCCGATATTATTGTCTATATTTATACGATATGTACATGGATATGTTCCGAAATATCCGTAATTTGAAAAAACCCAAATATCCTCGATATTTCGTCGATATTATCGATATTTCATACTATGAAAGTGACACACCGATCCAAGCAATATTTTCCAAAACTTCAGTGTGCAAATAAAAACCGATAATGGGCTCCTTGCATATTAGCCGATTTATTTATGTATTATTATTTTTTACATATTCTATTGAGATGAGTGATAATATATTAAACTTATACACATAACACGAATAGTAAGATTCGAACTCAATATCTTGCCCGAGATAACATTTGCTCAAAACCATTACACTAGTGGATACTTGCAATTAGCATATCATATGAGATGAGTGATTATAGTACGATCACAAAACTCATGTATTTGGCATCCTGATATTGTTGAAACTTGAAAGGGGTAGAAAAGCTGCTCACAATCACATGGCAAAAAAGACCAAAAAAAGAAGAAAAAAAGAGAGAGAAGAGTTTACTAATGCATGATTATTGTTTTAATATTAAACTATACCAAATTACAGGATAGAAGAAAACAATAATCTAACGTTTAGAACAAAAGTTAAAGATATATATTTATTTATTTATATATAAGCGATGTTTTGATGGAAAATTTGAACACATAATTTCGGTACGAACATATATCATCATCAGGATTCAGGACCTCGGTACACCATATTATGGAGGCGAAAAATACCCTCAACAAGTAACAACTACTTAAGTAAGTTAAATTCGAAGGCATACACAAGTCAAAATTGTCCAAATAAATGTAGCTTCATCCTAAATATGAATTTTTTTTTGTCAGGGCCTAAATATGAATTTGGTAAACTGCGAGGAAACTCCGCTGCTGGTCATTTAACTAAAGTTAGCCCAGGGCCTCGAGCTGGGCCCCACTGAGGTTGATGCACCAACCAAGGTGTTTATCTATTTTTGTTTGAGGACCCTCTTGATTTTTTTTGTCAAGGCCCTTGATACAGGGGCTTTTGTCTTTTTCGGCCTTTGCCTTGGCTTGGCTCCCAAACAAAAAATAAAAAAAGAAATAAATTATTATTTGTTTTTTTGATAATAAATCAAGTTTAATTAACCGTCTGAAGTCCGCCTCTATAAGTAGAGACTGACCCCTACGCTTCCCTCCCATTTTGTCTATCCGTTGCTTCTCAGAAAGAAAAGACCAGACACTGAATCGATTTCATGGAGACGAAGAACCCTTCACTAAAACCGTAAAATTAGGGTTTCTTTAGCAGCTTAAAGCTCGCGGTTTCAGTGACTCTGATAATGTGTGCTGCATTGTGCGAGAAGTTCCGAGCTTGATCCGAGCTCAAACTAGGGATTTCAATGGATCTGGTGTGATATGTGCTCTTGATCTTGATTATCTTTCAATTAACCAGCATTTTCATTTGAAAAAGTACTGAAAATCCTAATTAATCGCAGGAAATACAAAGATTCGGAGCCACGGAGCTCTTGATCAACTCGCTTCCCAAATGCACCTATTTCTCTTACAATAGCGATGAAAAGCTCGCTTCGCATGCGGACGACGATCTCCGAAACGAGACGAGTGAACACTTCGACTTCGTTGAAGCTGAATCGCTCTTGATCAAATCGGTTTTACGAGACAACAAGGCTCAACTCGTAACTCACACGAAACGACTCGCCGAGGCCTCCACAGAGCCCCTAGACCGAAGCACAGTCTCGAAGCTTCTCCACCTCTGCTGTAACTTCGACTCGCCGGACTGCGCCTCCGCATTGCTCGGCGGAGAGCTTGGAACGACGCCGTTGGTGAACGAGTTCGATGACTCGGGAAAATCGGCGCTTCACACAGCGGCTCTGGCTCACGCGGCCAAGTGCGTCGAGGTCTTGCTCAAGAAACACGCTCGTACGGGCCTGAGGACCAGAGACGGACGAGCACAGCTAGCTCTGGACCTGTCTCTGTCTAGCGCAAGGTAACAGCCAATTAAAACGTTCAAAAAACACGTCGTTTTAGTTTTTTATACCTTAAAAGGTAAAAGGGGACCCCTTCCCCATAAACACCACTGTACAAATTGCCTCGTATAGAAAATTTGCTTTTGCCTTTTCAGTTCGCTTTTGACTATTTCACATTTTTATTAATTGAAGCTCATCTTTTTTTGTTAATTTTCTTTTCTTTGCATTAATTTTAATTCATTTTCATCGCCCTGTGATTTCAGGATGGATGTGATTTGGACTCCAGATGAATACACCCTTGAGGATTTGGTCGTCGTTCTCGGCGAAAAGGTTTTTTTTCTTCTTGAATTAACAAGTTATTTGCGAAGCCTGTTTGGTTTCTTAGAAAGCTATTGAAAAATAAAAGAAACTGATGAAAAAGGTGACGGCTTGAAAAGCTCCTTGCTTTTATTTTTCTTCAGCTAGCAGTTAACTCTTTTAAAATCCATTGGATAAAAATTACCAAAATTTCAATTTGATATATTTAATTTTCTTTCCATCTCAGGATTTGACCACCGTGAGACTTCTCAGTGAAAAAACCAAGGAAATCGGTCAGGTGGCCTATGCAAACGCCGTTGAAGGGCGTATAGTTGCTTTAGCGGCTCTGCTTATTGTAGCCGCAGAGAAGATTAGCGAAACGGTATTGGAGTTGCGTGATAACGATTCGGCTTCTAAAGAGAAGGTGACCTTATACGAATGTGTTGTACGGGAAGCTTTGTCCCTGGTCCGTCCAACGACGCCGTTCACGGCGGCGAAACGCACCTCGACGGCCACCGAGAACGAAAACTCCGAGAAAAGGAGGCTTTTGCTTCTCGAGCTAGAGTTGCTTCAGCTCTTCGGAGCTGTTGCTGAAAGTGGTTGTACGGACAAGAAGGTGACGTCACCACTCATCCGAGCAGCCCAGGTAAGCCCAGCGATCTCTTCGTTCTTTTAGTTTTTTAATATAAAAAGAAAAACAGAGTAAAAACAGAGCACACTCTCTCTGTTTTTCTTTTAAATAAAAGAAAGGAAGGAGAATGGGAAGTTGAGCCTCGATTTGACGATCATGAAAAGAACGCATCCATTTTGGGATTTGTAATGGATTACTGAATTGATGACCCCACTAAACATTCTTTTTAAGGTCCCAATTGAAAGAAGTGTAGGGATTGTTTTGAGTACTCGCTCCGTTCTCATCCAGATGATGTTTTCTGCGTTCTGGTTGTCAAGTGGTTGGGGTCTGGGCCTTGACCTTGTTTTATGGTCTATGTTGGGTTTGGAACTGGGTCTGCTTTCCCTCAGGCTTCTTTTTCTGGCCTTGTCTTGTGGGCCTCGGTGTTTCTGTTTCCTTGTTTCCTTGTTTAATGAATTGATTCTCCCAAGGAAAACACGACGGACGCACGTGTCACAAACAGAAGATGTAATATAGAGAATACTGCCTGATATATATCTAGGCTGTACAAATAGTTCAACATGTTCCACCTAATTAGTTTTTTCGCATGCAGAGTGATTACTCCATAGTTGTAACTTGTAACTTATAATAAAATCCCGAAGAAAATATGTCAAAACTCAAGATTGCATTTAAAAAAAAATTGCTAATTGAAGTCCCTGTTTTTCAACTATGGGGTGAGCAAGTACCATTTTATTGTATGCTTCATATCTGTGTAGTATTGGAGTTTTGTTGTGATGTATGATCAGAAACTTGTTAAACTTTGGACAGGTAGGAGATGAAGCCGTCATGCAGCTGCTTCTGAAGACAAATATAGATGTAAATGATGCTGATGCAGAAGGAAATTCTGCTCTTCATTGGACCCTTAAATTGTCGAGATCGTTATGTCCACAGCAGATAAAGTCTCTCTCTATCTCTCTCACTCTCTCACACACATAGATGCACAGATTTAATTACCTTAACAGATTTTTGTTGTGTTCTCGTTCCAGAATTTTGTGGCTTCTCATTAAGCATGGTGCACGAGTAAGCCAAAGGAATAAATTAGGATTAACTGCCTTACATATTGCTGCTGGTAATGGTAATTCAGAGGCACTTCAGGTATTGTATGTTTTCTCTTCAGCATAGCTCTCCAATTTTCTTAAAGATCAACTTCCTCCTGGCAACAAAATATAGATTAGCTTTGAGTTTTCGTGGAAGTCATTACTATCGAACCAATTGGCAGGTCCTTCTATTGGAAGCCCCAGATGGTACCCAGTATAAGACAGAAATTAAAGAAACCCCGCTGTTCTTTGCTGTTAGGAATGATAGTATGGAGTGTGCTGAGCTTCTTTTGAGCTGGGGAGCAAGTAGTGAAATTCTCAATCTGCGGTAAGAAACAATTGAACCCTACTCATCCAGTTCAATGTTAGTATCTTTTTTCTGTAGTTGTCTCTTGGAAGGTGGCCTCAGATTTCTAGCTTTGAATGCTAACATTTATTTCTACATATCTGCGAAACTGTTAACATTACCAGTAGACAAAGGCCTATTGACCTGACAACCTCGCAAGATATGCGTTTCATATTGCTGAACCCAACCAGTGTTAACCTCAGTAAGTTGAATTTCGAAATGTGTATATAAGGAAATAGCGAAGCAACTGCACCAATCAATATGATTCTGTACATTTGATTTCACATTCCTAATTTTTTATTTGCAGGCAAAAATGCTTTCCCCAGTCAACATAAATGTATTGCTTGTTCACAAGGTGATGAGGCTTTTTCAAGCACCTGCGAAGCACTTCTAACCATGACAGCTGAAGACACCACTTCTGAAAGGTAGATCAAGTTTGTGTGATATGTGCTTGTGAGTGGGTGTAGGGGTGTGAGCACGCAAGTGCTTGTGCATGTCTACCTATGTCCTTAATCTATTCATATGTTCTCAAGTTTCTTTACTTCCTGTGCATGATAGAAAAATTCACTCCAGCACCAAGGTAGAGATTTGCAAATACTTCGTCTCTCCTCGTGGATGTGTCAGAGGAGCTAAGTGCTTTTATGCACATGGTATGGAGGAGCATCAGAAAGTGAAGCAGGAAGCAGTCCGCAATCATTCTCACGATGCTAAAGAACTCAAGCGCATCTTTGTAGGAGGACTTCCTCCTTCAGTGGGATCTGGTTAGTATTATCCACCTCTGAAAGCTTTGATACAAAAAGCCTTTAAGTTGTATTGATTATGAATACTCAAGCATTGATCAGCGATTTAATTTTCAGATATATTTAACATTATTTCTCTGGATAAACTTTCTTATGTTACTTTGTGAAGCAGATTCCTTGGGTAAGTTCTTTGAAGAACAATTTGGGCCAGTGGATGATGCCATAGTCATTTTCTCTCAAATAGAAAACAAGATACAATCTCGAGGCTTTGGATTTGTCACATTTAAAGAGGAGAAATCTGTTTCCGCAGCTGTTCAAGCACACTATGTCTCCATGCTAGGCAAACCAGTCGAAATAAAAAGTGTGGTAACAAGATTGGCAGCTGAGTCGGAGAAATTGTCACCTCGACAGCAAGGACAAGAGAAGAATTGCCAACCTCAACTTCCACCACAGATGTCGTCCAATGAGATGATTATGGAAGCAAACAAACCTGAACAAGGTTCTTGGCTTTTTAAGTTACTCCATGGCCAATCAAAGACAAGTCCCATAAAACCTCGAGCACGTAAAATCTCAAGCCCAGAAGATAAAAGCATGCCTATTTGGCTAAAGGTTTTTAAGAAGTGGTTTCCTGGGTTCTTACAAGATCTGTCAAAGCATCCAAGGACTGGAAAATATGCTCTATCTTCTCTGAAAGGTGATTTCAGGGCAAAATTTGGCTTAGAACTGGATCATGCACCTCTTGGATTCTCCAAGCTGAGTGACTTCATCAAATCTTTCTCCAACTTATGTACCGTTAAGGTTGACCCTGTAGATAAAAATGGATTTCTCAATCACATGATCCTCCAACCAAAATTCAGGCATCATCACCAACTCTGTCAATGTCATACACTCAGAATGTCTTCCAATTCCTCTGTTTCTACAGCGAGCGATGATGGTGGTAATTCAAAGTGTCTTCAGGACATTTCGACCGATGATGGTGGTGATTCAAAGTGTCTTCAGGACATTTCGACTGATGATGGTGGTGATTCAAAGTGTCTTCAGGACATTTCAACTGATGATGTTGGTGATTCAGAGTGTCTTCAGGACCTTTCAGTTGATGATGGTGGTGATTCAAAGTGTCTTCGGGACCTTCCAATTGATGATGGTGCTGGAAACTTGGCATTAAAGGAAACCAGTATCTATAGGGAAGAGAAACCCTCCCATGGGCATCATCCTGAAGTGAATTCAGCAATGGATGCATCACATTGCATCCACCCAAGGGTCCTGCAATTCTTGAAGCCAGATCCTCTGTTCCACGGTAAAAAAGAACTTGATGTGAGCAGTGAAAGAGGACAATGCATAGGAGAACTTAAAGGAAGTACTAATAATCGGAGAGATCCACAACGGCATCTGGTTTTGGAGACCCTTGCCAGAAAAAGGAACAAATCATTTAGTTACTTCCTTCGTGACTTTGATTTTTACAAGGTGAGAAGTAGCCAGTTGACACTATATATCAAATGATTTTAGCGTTAAAGTGTTCATATATACTGTGCATATTATTATATCGTTATGGTGATATATCATAATATATAGTTTCACAATGATGATAGATATAATCATATAACACCATAGTATTATGATGCACCGAGCACGCAGGATTATAAGGAATGCATTTTGGAGGGAAAGTGTTTTGGATGCAACCAGAAGCGGATGTTATGGGCCAATTTTCCATGCCAACACATGCTGTGGTGCAGCTCCTGTAAAGTTCAGGCCATACTGGCTGCTGGTGATTTTGAACACAAATGTGTGGTGTGTGATTTGCAAGTCCACAAAATCATCACACTTCCGCGCCATGATGACTTCCCACCTATTGTTGATCCTGCAGCTTATTTACCAACGTAAGATCCAGCTGATTCTATCCACTTGCTTAATTTCTATATCTCTAAATAAGTGTATATATATATATATATATTGTTTCATTTTTGTTTTCCTAATATTGTTTTTCTCCCTCCCTTTGTAGTCCATTGATGAAGAAGACATCTCCCTTAAGCGGTAACAGATGAAGTCAATGCAGTCAAGGTTTTCATGCAGAGGGGAACAATAGATGATGGTTAAAGATGCATAGTATATGTGGGTGTGGGCAAACTGTATATATGCACCCCAGAAAAGGTAAAAAAGAAAAGAAGAGGCGGGTTGGGCCACGGGGTCTCCCTCCCTCCCTCCATACTAAAACTAGTTTTGAATTCCGATTAGAATCCTATAGACTATAAAACTACTTTTGAACTCCAAAGTGCTCTTTTGCTGATGTCTCTTTTTGTTGATATTTGGAGGATAGAAATCTGAAAATAGAATGGAAATATCAAGTCCTCCCACAAACCTCTTTTTTTTCTCTCCGTCTGTCTATATAGCTCTACTTCTGTCGCCAAAAGAGGCATGTTAATTTACTCGCCATCCCAACTTTTTTCTTTTTCTTTCAAGTCCGCAATTACATCGAGGGCGAGATAGGAGTGAATTACTGTGAAATGATTTAACAATTTTTTTCGTCATTATTTCTGAATAATAGTTAACTTGCATCATACACCAGGAGGTTTCATACTTGATCCTCAAAGAGCCCGCAACTTTCTATTTGAATACATATTTTCCTACTGTCCAATTGAGTACATAATTTGAGCCAAAACCTCTGTTCTAAAAGTGAACCACCACCACCATACTCGAAAATAGGGTATAGTCAGTACTCTACACAACCAAATGAATCAGAAGCTCGTGAAAGTAGCAAGTCTGTTGTTTCTTTGCAACGCATACTCTAAATTTTTGCAAATTCTGTTCACATGACACTCCCAGACGATGGAAAAGTACAGAGTCTACAGTTAATTCCATCTCACGTCAGCCTAAGCATTCGTTCAATCATCAATTCTCCGAACCTAAGCAGCTACTTTCTCTGAGAGCTCATGTTGTACAGACCGGTCTTGCCTTTTCCTGCAAGTCAGAAAAAAAAAAAAAATCGTTACCACCGATAACGATACGGCACTTAATAGGAGCTAGAGAAACATATAAAGGATGCAATCCAGAACACAAATAATTTGAAATAACACACCTAATCTCAAATTTCTTCTTCTGTTAGATATATCTGTCTATCCATCTATCCGTCTATTTATTGGTTCTATAATATATAACTAAGAGTAGCTTTTTTCACACAAACATTAGAATGTGTTATCAGCTGCTATGAATATTGAAAGAACCTAATCTATAAAATTGATGTCCTCGAAATCAATAATATTTAGGCAAATAGTTAGAATCAAATAATCGAAACAAGTGAATTCTTACAAAATAAAAGAAAAATAAAGAACAGACTAAACTAGAGCAGATACAAGAGTACTTATTTGACAATAAACACTACATCAGTTCAGTAAGAAGTCGTGAAGAAACTTTATTATGAGGAACTTACTTTTCATATACTTTGATGAGCGATCTTGGCCTGTCATAACTATCTCGCTTTTGTTGAAACTTTTGGCTCTCTGCCGCCCTTGATTCTGGTTTCCAATTAGCATTGGCTAGAGACATACCCAACAGTTCAGCAATATCTGTTGCCATTGCCTCAGCCTTCTTCCAATATGGAAAAGTTTCCTCCTTGAAGTGGTGGGATAACCACATATACATAGACAACACTTGATGCTTGGTCTCGAGATCCAAGAGCTCCTTATTGTTACGAGCAGACCCCTTTGGTATGCCCATTGCAATATTAACTGGGAGATTCTGACTATATGACGAAGCAAACCTTAGAAGATGGTACATCGCTTTTGGGTCTCTGATATTAACCGGGGCAAAACAGAAGTTAAAACGATCCTCTAGAGATAATTCCGGGACCTTCTGTAACATACTTGCAACCTTCTTTATATGATCATGTCGACACAAGAAGTATGACCCATCCAAACGACAATTTTCACTGAATTTCTCAAGAAGCTGGCAGAATGTAACATTTGGCATTTTGCCTGCAAATAGCTCGACCTGCTCAAAGAAAGGAAAAAGGCCCACTTTCTTAACTTCATCAAAAGGTTGCTTTAGACATTCAATCAAGTAAGCCAGATCATCTAAGTTCAGTGTGGTAGTGAGTCCATCTGGATATATACTTCCTCTCCGACCAGCTCTTCCAGCAATCTGCTTCACTTGAGATGCAGGAACTGCTACAGTTTTGTCACCATTGTACTTGGCCAGGCCATAGAATACAACCCTCCTGATATTAAGATTTAAACCCATTCCCACTGCATCAGTAGCAACAAGCACATCATATTCATTATTTTGATCATTAAACAAATTTGCTTGCTGTCTTCGAGTTTCTGGTGGCAAGGCACCATAAATAACACAACAACGGTGATTGGTGTGTTTTTCAATTGCAATTTTAACCTCAAATACCTCTCTCCTTGAAAAAGCAACCACACAGTCTCCAGACCGAACATTTTTAAGATCTCCCAAGAGCGTTTTGGCTTCAACCACCAACGGCTTAAACCTCTCATAATGGTGCACGTACAACTCATCACCGGTCTCTGAACAGATTTTTCGAACGATATCCAGAACGCTTGGATCTCCACACAAATGTATCTCATCAGCCTTCAGCCCAAGCAATGCTCGTGTCCATGCAAACCCTCTATATGGGTCTGCCATCATCTGAATTTCATCGATAACAGCAACATCGTACAGTTCATCTGTTGACACCATTTCCACTGTACAAGCAACATGGTTTGAGAATGGGACAAACTTCTTTTCTTGTCCCGTGTGAAGACTACAATAAACCCCATTTCCATTTACTTTGTCAAAGACTTCCATAGCCAATAATCTCAGAGGACTGCAGTAAATACCCTTCTTTGCTTCCATGAAACTTTGCAAAGCATTGTAAGTTTTGCCACTATTGGTTGGACCACAGTGATAAACTATCTTACGCTTCATAGCCCGAGCAAATGGAAACCATGTATGGGGCTTAGTGAGATCTGCTGATTCAATCATACCCCGAAAACGCTTGATCTCATCAGGAAACTCTTCCAAACAATATTCAACAAACACTGGAAACAAAAACTCAACTGCATCATCAGATGGACCAAGGGACACCACATACCTGGCAACATCAGCCGAACACTTCTTGAAGAAAAAGTTCCGAAAATTGTGCACAGCAGTAGGAAAAAATGACCTGCCTATGTATATCGCAAGAGACTGATCGGATGCCCAGCCCGAATTCCCAAAGTACCGGAATATTTCTTGAAGACTGTCCCAATCAGACCGTCTCTGCTTCGCACCCTTTTCGGCATTGCGAAGCTCACGATACAATTCAGCAGGCTCGCGGGATGCAACATGCACAAAGCTCAAAGGTTTCACTGAACTCACATTGTCATCACCATTTTCCGACTCAACCATCATTGAATCACAAATAAGACCCTCATCATCATCGTCCCTGTCTTCACAATTCGACAAATTGCGAGCACTATCCTCAAGCTCAAACTCAACATTTTTCCCAGCATCCGCATCAAAATCGCATTCAGACTCGACCATTGTTGAACTATAAGCACTATTATCATTCACATCTTCGTCCTCATCTCCCACAGCAGTTGAAAAAGGTTTTGCATCAAGGGTTTCGCTGCCCATAACTTTTGGGCTTTGAGGCGGCAATCTAAGACGAACTAGGTCCCTTAAGCTCGTCGAAAACGGACGGTTTGGACCATCGAAAGCGGGACAAAAAGGGAAACTTGGAGATATAGAGCGGTCATATGAACCTGCGGAACTGAGATATTGATTCCACACCAGAACCCTAAACCTAGATATGCTTTTCTTCGAAGCATAAAGTCGAAAGAGAGAGCTTGCAGGGCCTCTAGCCATTTTTAACACTCGGATAAAATCAAAAGCTCATAGATATGATAAATCAATAAGAACCGACAAGTACAGCTTGAATACGAATGAAAAGCCCAGAAATTTGGGAACAATTTCAAGGAAATAAGCGAGTGTGAATTGAGCGGATTATAGAGAGCTCACCTGAGACAATAAAAAATGACTGAATTTGAGAGCGAGCGAGAACGCAAATTGAGGGGAAAGTGGTGGTGAGGGTTTACCCGAGCAAAAACCCAGAAGCTCAGTTGGGTTTTGACTTTTGACTTCTGAGACTGATTTCTTACTTCAGGTCCGTTTGAGATTTACAGACTCAAATTTTCAAAATTGAGCCCACTAGTGGCATTCATTTGGGCCAAATATGTCTGGGTGGAGCCCAATATACTCTGTTAATTACCAATTATATATTTTTTAGCTTTATCATCAATCTGTTAATTACCATTTTTTTTGCGGCAAAGTCAGAAGCCCACACATGGTATGACGGGGTTTGAACGCATGATCACTTGGAAGCATATCAAAGACCTGTGCCAATCCAACTAACACCCCAAAATCTTCATGGTAATTATGTCACTTGGTTGGTGCTAGTTATAGCTTGTAGTGTAACTCATTTCCCCAAGTACTATTACTACACAATAGAAACAAAATATATTTTGCCTAACTTGTATAAATTGGAATGTAGGAAACTGTACAGTGACACACTAAACAGAGTATGATTTTGATACTAGCTAGAAAAAGATAAAATGAATTCAATCAACTGTAGCATTTGTTTGTAGAATAGCTGGTGGACATGTCACTTGGACAAGGTGGTGAATCTGATGGCAGAGTAGGCTTCCAAGCATCATCATCTGAAGCCAAACTGAAGGGAAATGCAATTGGTCTGATGCTTCCCCACTGGCCATTATTATTATTATTATTAGCATGGCTTGTGCTACTACTTAAGTTCTTCCTGAAGCCCCCTTCATTTTCTCCTGTTTCCATGTTTCCCTGCATCTGATTCTGTGACAAATTGATCGAAAAGCCGCTGAACTGTTGCTGTTGTGAACCATCAAAGTCTATGCTTCCAGTTGCGTTACTCAAATCACCAATTAAGGCAGGGCTGATAGGTCCTGACATTTCCCCTGGAGAGAACATGAAGCCGTTGGGAAATTGATCTGCATCAAATATGGAGGGTTTGGATCCTGTGGGATTGATGGGTTTATAAGGGAGAGTGTCAAAGGCAGAGTAGCTGGCATTAGAAGCTTGTTGCAAGTCATTGTTGCTCCAAAACTGGATGGATGATCCTATGTCAGTTGTGCACGACATGTTCTCTGAGCTGAACTGAGTGCAGTGTGCACCTTGATTGAGTAAACCAGATGCTGCTGTAGGTTCCGGGAATGGAGACCCCCAAGAGTGAGAAAGAGCTCTCTGTGCCATGGAGTTTGTCTTCTTGAAAATCCTACAAATTGCCCATGCATCCTGTACAAAACGATGTGTTGAATAAAACCCATAACACAGCTTTAAAACAAAGAGAAAGGGAAAAAATAACCAAGACTTACATTTGCAGGAAGGCTTTTATCCAAGAGCTTTTTTGGTGGTGCTGCTGACTCTGAGAGAGAAGGTAACCGAAATT